TTGTGTAGATCCTCTTCACCTTCGATGATTGATGTCGGTGAATCTGACAAATGTGGAGTCGACATTGCAAGATCATCTTAGGCATCATTTCCCTCACAATCATCGCCCTCATAATCTGTTTAGATCGGCGACAGATCGGAATGAGAGGAGAGAAGAGAGAAAGAGAGGGGTTTGGATTTGAGAGTGTAAAAACGAGGTTTTTTCACCTATATACATGAACAATTTAGTTATTTTATAGAAACTTGTCCTTCTAGACAAAGAAAATCAAGGGAAATTCTATTTTCACACACCTATTTATCTCAGTGTACACACTTAATGAAATATTAAAATAATTACAATTATATCTTAAAATAAAATGACCATAATATACATCAAAACACACCCTTAATATTATATTTAAATTTTCTCTATACACATCTTAAAAATAAAAAATTAAAAATCTCAACACATCTTTTGATTAAAAAAACTAAACCCTAGAAAAAAAAAAAAGCCGAAATAAATGTATGCAGTGAGAAGTAATTATAATTTTCTCTCCATTTTTTTGAACTTTGAAGAAATTTTGTGTAACCGTTCATGGAACTCATAATGCAAATACAGTGTTGTTTCAATTAAAAAGCACTAACAGATTGAGTTGGGGACAACTTTGAAGTAGAAAAGCAACACATAAAGTTTCACTCTTTCTCTTTATCATGAAGTAAAGAACTGTTGATTGATTGGGTTTAGAGGAATCCTTAATTGCTTCTGGAAAGTTGTAGAATACCACTTCTGCATATCAGACCTAGATTGCATATGATAATAGGTACACTGGTGGGAGTGGCAGGTAGGTTGTCCCAGTATTTGGGACGTACCCGATGCATGTAGGATTTATTTGTGAACAGCGCGTTGCCTCTGATGAATTGTCAATGGGTCTTCATTATTTTTTCATGGAGTTGTCAATGGGTCATTTTGACACATCAAGTATGTGGAAATAGAACTTTCAACTGAAATGGGTAAAGGTGTATGGAAGGAAAGTTTAGGTGATGCGTGTATAATTATATGAGTTAGGGTATAATTGAAACATCAAATGTATGGAGTGAGAAGAATAATCAATAACTAAATTAATAAGTGTGTGCATTAAGAAATGATGTGCAGTAAGGTAAGTAGGTGTGTGAAAATAAAATTTCCTCTAATATGAGGGTGTGCACACATTTTTTATTAAATTGGTATATTTAGAATATGGAGTGTGGGCTGAAGTAAATACTTAAGAATTAAATTACTAAGTATGTGGAGTAAGAAAAGATGTGCACAGAGACAATGTGGTGTGTGGAAATAGAATTTTTCAAAAATCAACCGTGGATCTATAAACAAAAAAAATCTAATTTTGGACTTTTGGCCAGAGTGCCCAATAAAAAAAGCAAGGGTAAAGATGATGAAAAATGGTTTATTTTTTAGGGGTATTTTTTTTAAGGTCCTTGATATTATGATTTTATAGTGTAAAGGACATCAACTATTTTCATGATGTCTAAGGTCCCTCAACATCAATCCAGAGAAATTTCAGTCCAGAGAAAATTCAACCAGAGAAAATTCAATCCAGAGAAAATTCAACCAGAGAAAATTCAATCCAGAGAAATTCTCTTCCTTTCTTCAGTGCAATATTTTCATCTTAGACACCATCAAACCTGTGAAAACTCAATGAAACCTGTGAACTCAACATTCTGACCTTTATGTTTTGTGTACTGCAACAAGAAAGGATAGTTATATTTATAGATTGGCGGTGTCGGTAGCATTTACAACTATTAATTCACGGATGAATGAAGAAGAAATTAAAAAACAAAACCAGCCAAGAAAATCAAGCCCAAACAATTGAAAAGAAGATCAATGAATTCAAAAAACACTGGGACACCAACTCAAAGAAGCTTCAACATCACCTGAAAAACCAAAAATTTCATGTTAGATATACCAAGCAACAGCATAAGAGAGAGAGTAATCAGAAAAATTGCCACTCTAGCCTAATTTTTATATGTATAATAGACAACAACCTTGCAGCTTCGGTAGAGTTGGATCAACAAGAGGCAATTTAGAGTTGGACCCCCTTGCTCGCCTCAAAAGAAACCGGTCAAAATGAACCCAGAGAAATTTGAATTTTCTCTGGGTTGAATCCAAAGAAAATTCAAATTTCTCTGGGTTGAATCCAGAGAAATTTGAGCAATTCTTGGGGCATGAGCTCCAAGACAGACCACAACCTTGCAGCTTCGGTACAGTTGGATCCCAATTTGGATGTTGAAGCTTCGTTGCAGTCTGCCAAGTACTTTCCAGAAACGTTTTCAAGCCTCAGCTGACCTTCCCTAAACCTCCTACTGTAAATTTCTCTGCCCTCCTGGACTCAACACTCCAGAGAAATTTGAAAATTTCTCTGACTTCACTGGCCTTCCCACAAAATTACCTCTCCAGAGAAATTTAAAATTTCTCTGGACCTCCTTGGCCTTTCATGGACTCTCCAGAGAAATTTCAAATTTCTCTCCCTTCCATATGCTTCCACCGACACATTTTCTGCAACAATATCATAGCTCAGAACATTCAATATGAAATTTCATGAAACACATTAATACACACCAGTGGAAAAACCATTTTGCCACCCTAAACATTTCCAAGCAATGTAAGGCATGGAACCTTCCCAGAACCCCATCAAGCTTTGAAAGTTGAGCATAGACCACAACACTAGCACTCACCCTTGCCTATAGCAAATATACATGACATTAGTACATAGAAAACCAGAAAAAACAACAGCAAGCCACCAATTCAATAGACAAAAAGTATTTTAAATTATGTAATTTTTTAAAAGCTTCATACCACCAGAGAACTTTGGTAAGTGGCAAAATATGACCAGAGAATTTTCTGTCCAGAGAAACCTCCCAGAGAATTTCTCAGAGAAAATTTACACAGTGGCCAAAATCTCAGAGAATTTCTCTGGACAGAAATTCTCTACAAAGAAAATGGGTTGGCTCTCTCTCTCTCTCTCTCTCTCTCTCATGATTTAATGAGAGATTGTTCAAGCCAAGTTCTATGTAATAGATTGAGTAGATGTAGGAGTTAATTCAATACACTGCACTTTTCGTTGCTTTTTATCTGAAATTTCCTAATCATGAATATATATTTCAGTCAACCTTTTTAATTCATAAATATATATTTCAAATAAACATCATGAATATAAAGCCTTTGCAAGCATTTGCTGGTAAAGTTCTTCAAAATGGGAAATATAGTAATTGAGCTTGATGAAGAACTATACAAGATATGGAATAAACCAGTTAATAGAGGAAGATGGAGATTGAGGATGAAGATATATATATATATATATAGAATGTTTTGAGCCCCAAAATTAGAGAGGGGTGACCCTCTCACCCCTTGTTTTGTTTACTAGCATTGTTGGCTTTACAAAGGAGCCCATATTTGCACACTTCCTGCGTAGCATCTGTGTGTAGCTGAACATTCAATTCCTTGCAAATTTTCCCAATCTCGGTTGTAGATGGATTGAGAACTTTGTCCGTCGGTGACTGTGATTGTGCCGTGGAGCTTCTCTCCGTCGATCAAGCTCCGCGAGAACCTCCCTAAGCCTCTCCACCGACACATCTTCTGGCGACATGGCTCTCTCTCTCTCTGTGCGTGTTTGATCGTGGTGACGAGTGAGAGTAGACAAAAGGAAGGGGGCTGAATTTCTCTGTGATAGATGGGAGGACCTTAGACATCAAAAAATAATTTTGTGGATCTCTTCCTTTACGAAAAGTGGGAGAGGGACCCTAGACCAATTTTCCCTATTTTTTATGGCGTATGGTTTTTGTATTCAATATATTTATTTTTATTCTTAACTTTTTTTTCTTATTAAGTATCTTATATATATTATGTATCTTTTAATTTAATAATTCATAGGTTAATTTTTCAAGTACCATACTCTAATTCATGTGAAAAATAATTGACAATAATAGACGGAGGCTAACCAAGAAAAACCCAAAAATGCCTTCATGGCTTGAATTGATGTATAAAGTATAAATCACTTTGTTTTCGTTTTTAAAACTTGTTTTATTTATTTTTTATTTGAAAAAATAAAAATTAATTTGAAAAAAAAAAATTGTATAAAAAAGATATTTACAATTTTCTAAAAATTATTTTCATATTAGAAATAAAAAAAGTCATATAAAAATGTTTATTATGTTTTATTTTGTCATTTTATTTACTAAATTAGTTTTAAAATTTTTGCTAAAGAAAAATAGAAAACAAAACAAAACAAAATTGGATGAATAATTATTTTTTGGTACAAGGCTACGACCAAGAGTTACAGAATTTTGGCAACAGAATTAAAATATTTAATTTAAGATGTACGAGCTGACCAATTGAATTAAGTTTTATATCTTAACCAATAATTAACAAAATTAAATTTTTACAACAAATAATTAACAAAAGAAAATAATAGAAGGGCAAATTACATATACACCCCTCGAGGTTTGGCTAAATTACAGATACCTCCCTGAGGTTTCGGAAATTACATCCCGCCCCCTGAGGTTTGTATTTTCATAACAATTTGCCCCCTGAGGTTTATATTTCATAACAAATAACCCCCTAATTTCTTATGCAAATATAGTATTCAGGGGGGAATTCGTAATTTCTCAAACCTCAGGGGGCATCTGTAATTTGACCAAACCTCGAGGGGTGTATATGTAATTTGCCCAAAATAGAAATTTAGAAAAATGTAGAGAGTGCGTAATACGCATCAAGCACACAATAAGATATAGCAATTATAACAAATCATTAAAACCAAACAAAGCTATTCTTGGTTTAGCAGGCAACTTGGCAAGGGCTTGTTTTTTTTTTTTTTTTTTTTAGATACACTCTAAATTTATAATTATTTTATTTTTTATAAAAATTATATCTAATTATAAAAAAAAATTTCACCATCTTATCAAATACAAATATTTTAAATTAATAAAATAATAAAAAATTAAAATTAACTAGTCCCTCATTTATTAGGAGTCTCTCTCTCTTTGTTAGTTTTTCAAAAACAAAAACACAAAAAACACAAAAACAAAACAACAATAGTAATATTAAAGAGACTGAAACAACATAAATTCCAGAGAAGAACAAACCAAACCCCCTCTCTTTCGATCGTAAAATCGCCGATTAAGGTCAGTTCATTCTCTGTGTGTGTGTTTGTGTGTGTGTGTTTGTGCTCCAATTCGATCAATTGTTTTACCATTCAATCTCTCGGATTTTGATTTTTTGGTGAATTATCTATTCAATTTGAATTGCTTCCGAAAAACATTTTTGTTTTGTTTTGTTTTGTTTTTGTTTTTGTTTTTGTTTTGTGGGTTTTAGTTCTGACCAGGTCTTGTTTTTTGAATGTTGTTGTCTGGAATGTTTTCTGCCGTGACTGTTTCTGTTTTAGTATGTTGTTGTTTTTGTTTTTTGCTTGAAGATTTGCAGGAAGGTATAGTTTGATGATCTTTAGGGTTAGGCTTACCTATTTAATGTTGCTTTCTGATCACTATTTTTCTGTGTATATATATATATATATATATCCACAAAGATGTGTGGATATAAAGATGATTTCAATTGTAGCAATTTCATAAACACTCACTCAGTTTAAATTTTTAATGGACATGTATACATCTTGTCTTATCAATCATCATATACTACTATCTGTAATTATTAAACTACTGCATTTTAGTTCTCTCTCTTTCTCTCTCTAAATTCCTCAATTGTTTCAATTTCTCTCAATCCGCTTGTTCTTCTTTATTGCTAGATGTTTGGATTCTATTTAGGGTTAATTTCACTTTATTCCTTAAATTTTAACCATTTTTTTCCCCATTTCATACCTAAACTATAAATTTCATATGGTTAGCCCTTAAAATTTCCGATTTCAGTTCATGTAGTCCAATTACAGATGATTGTAAAAATCAATAACCATTGAAGCCTGATTTGATGGTTAAAAAAATAATTTCAAAATTTGAACAATTTAACCATACAATGAAACAACCATCAAATTGGTTGTGGTCGGTAGTTTGTTCGAAATAGTAAGAAAAATGAGCGTTTGATTGTATGGTTCAAGTTCAAATTGAAATGAACTTTTTGCCCATCAAGTCAAGCTTCAACGGGTTGATTTATACAATCGTCTCCAATTGGACAATATGAACTAAAATCAGAAACTTCTGGATGAAATAGAAAAAATGGTGATAGTTTAGGGGATAAAAGTGAAATTAATCCTATTTATATATTTGTTTTCATTTTGTTTCATTGTGGAATTTTAAGTTCATTTATTTTTTTGTTTTCAATTTGTTATTATCTTTTGTTGTTATTGAACAATAGGTTTGCTGCATTTGGAATTGAAAATATAGTGATCATGAGATTCAAGAAAGGGAGTAAAGTGGAGATCTTGTGCAAAAATGAGGTGCCATCGGGTTATTGGCATTGTGCTGAGATAATTTGTGGCAATGGGCACAACTACACCGTTAGATACGAGATGGACCCTGGTGCTACTAATGAGGCAATTGTTGGAAGGGTATCTAGGAAGTCAATTAGGCCTTATCCTCCTTTGGTTGAACTATCAGAGAATTGGGTTCCGGGTGATGTTGTAGAGGTGTTTCAGAATTTCTCTTGGAAGATGGCAACTGTGTCTAAGATTTTGGGTAGGAATTACTTTTTGGTTAGGTTACTTGGATCTTCCCATGAATTCAAACTCAGTAAATTTGACCTTCGGGTGCGACAGTCTTGGGAAGACGACAAATGGTTCGTGATTGGAAAGGTAGTTTTATCTCTACTTTATATATGCAACTTGAATACTTAATCTTCCACAATAATGAGAGCATTATTTAGGAGTTCTTGTTTTGCATTCTCTTGATTCTGTAAAAAATTTCATCAGCAATACTAGGAACACAGAATGGATCACATAACGTTTGACAGAAATAGAAAATGCAATGGAAGATGATATTTGATTGATTGATTAGTTTGGGGCTTTTTAGAGCAATATTGATCATCTTCTAATTTCCATTTTCCGTACAATTTCAACAACTGAATGCATGTTAGAAAATGTGGTGTTAATGGGACTTTCCCCTTTTTTTTTTTTTTGTTATTTATTTTATTTTGGTGCAAGCAGGGTGGTAGCAACTGTGAAGATGGGAAACATTGTGAATGGCCAATTCTGAAGTACAATCATAAGCTGAGTTCCCAAGTTAAGAAAACAGATACAAGGATGACTTTCCACGTAAAAGATGAACACTGTACTGCTAAGAACAAAGCCAATTTCCAGGAATCACGTATTGTTTCCTCAAGAACTCTGAAGAGAGGATTTTCCAATTGCTATTCTCAAGTTGAGGCACCTGCAAGAACTTCCCAGAAATTTAGAGTAATTGAAAAAGAGGGTAGGTGTCATCGATTGCTTGCTGCAAATCCATCCCCTTTACCTGAAAAGGTAGACGCTGTTGCTTCCCATCGAGAAATGGTTAGTGAAACAAATAACTTTATTGAAGTGCATGTGGGGAGGGAGAAACCAAGTGGAGCTGTTGGGTGTAATGATACAGATAATTTTCCATGCTCTGTGGCTAGTTGTAGCGTTAATAGTCATAATTCCTTTAAGTTGCATCGTAATTTTTCTGGAGGTCGTGTTGAAGATACTGATGGTAATTTTAGTGATGCTGAGTCTGTTTTTAGGTGGGGTCATGAGGAAGGGAATTGTCTCCTTCCCACTCGAGAGGAATTGGCGGAAGAAATCCACAGGTTAGAGTTGCATGCGTACCGTTGCACTATGGAGGCATTGCATGCATCGGGACCCTTAAGTTGGGAGCAAGAAACATTGGTGACGAATCTTCGTCTTTCACTTCATATATCAAATGATGAACATTTGATGGAGCTAAGGAACTTGGTTTCTACTGCTACAAGCATTCCTATTAGTTGACAGGGAACCTATTCTCTCCCTCTTCTTTCATTTTCTATGAATAGATTTTGTTTTTCCATTGGTACAATGCTTATGCATCATTGTAAGAAGCAGGATGAAATGTTGTTAATCTGTTGCTTCTATTTGGTTATTAAAATCGGTAGTGATCTAGATTAAAATGTTTATATCAGAGACTTCTATAATGCAGTGGAGAACTCTTGCGTATCTTACATCCTTCTTTTTAGTCTATTGGCCCATGTACTGTTTATCTTTCAATGCATAATGCAATAAAAATTTTCAAATAATGATCAGATGTATAGTTAATTCCTTGTTTACATGAATTTACTGTGACAGGTGTAACTCTTTTGTCTTCAAACACCTTTGTAATTTATGCTTATGATTTTCTATTTACTTGTATTGTGTTGAGTGTATTTTCCTCCTTTGTTTCATTTAAGCAAAGTTTATGAAGTTCCCCACTTTGGGAGTTACGGGTTTTAAGAAAGCGCAGATGTGCTTTTCATTTTGATGAGTATTTTGTCGGGTCCATTCTTTGAATAACTGATTATCTCCATACCATTTGGCAATGTAAACAGTTTTTATGAGGTCATCATTGATGCTTCCCCTGCATTTTCCAGGGCTGAAGTAGGAGGCTTGTACACTTTGCTTCCAAATCTCTAAAGATGTTGGGGTTTGCCACTTTCTCTTGGTCTAGACAATGATTCAATCTCGGATTAGCTACAACAAGAGAGCTTGTGATGAGCCATTGGTATGTTCAATATATTTGGGTTGCTGCATTCTTCAACTTTAGGCCACCTCTGAGCCTTGAGTTTGTTTTTCCGAAGGATGTAGAACCAGAATTATGTGGCTTCCAAGCAATGTCCTGATATGTGGATGCTTGAAAGGTCTTAGTTTCGAACCTATTACCTCAGCTCATCCATATGATTTCATCTTGTTCTTGCAGCTGCATGATTTCACTCTCCATATATTGCAAAGTTCATGCCTGTTGGTAGGATTTGTTATTTGCTTTTAGAGTTGCTTTGGATAGTAATTTGTCTATAATCTATGAAGCACGGGTACGGATACGAGTATTGGTACTGGTATGATACGGGTACGTCGATATGGTAAAATTCAAAACAAAAAAAAATAGGGTATGGGTACACCTTGGTATGCTTGTAAAAAAAATATTTATTTTTAATTTAGAGTAATGCAAAAATTAATTAAATGGTTTAATTTGTTAAGGTCCAATCTATAATTAACATTTAATGTCAAAAGTAAAAGTATAGATCAAAATTAAATATCAATATATTAAATAACTTACAAACCATAGTTTAATTTTAAAATCATGCTAAGCATAAAACAAAAAATAAAATAAAAATCTAGTGAAAGCAGTTTTATCTTTGTAGAAGAAAATATTATTTTAACTGAGGTACGGTACAGCGTGGATATATATTAGGTACGTTTGGGTACGTCAAAAATTAAGAAGAAAAATTTTAAGTACATGTTTTGTGTACCCAATACGTATGCAGAAATACCATACAAGGTACTATACGCCGGTAAGTACCTGGTACGGCTATGGCATGTTTTTCGAAGTACCCATGCTTCATAGTCTATAATCTATATTGATTTCATTTTTAGTTTCTAAATCTGTGGATTAGAATTTAATAGAAGCTTGGATGGATATCTACAAAATCTATATTGAATTCTGTGATGAAAAAACTATAATATTTGAAATAGAATGATGGTGAACTCTGTGTCATTACAATCGTACAGTAGTTTCTGTGCCTATGAAGTATGAGTATCCTTATCATATTCATGTTGCGGATATGTACCCAATACTTCCTAAACGTACCCATAATTTTGTTAATTTTGAGAAGTTCTAACGCATTTTTAGAGGGGGAAAAAAAAAGTGTACCTAGTTTAGAGTCCGTTGTAGATGGGAGTCTGGGAAGGGTAGTATAGGTACAAACCTAACCTTTGGCATTGTTTTGCATGAAGTGTTTGCCCTCAATTATTAACCCACAACCTAAAGGTTGATCAGTCAAGTTCTCTTGTTTACTTGCATCTTAAATAAGAAGAAAATAGTAATATTAAAGTAGTATCATAACTTTCATAATTTATCGAATTTACTTGCTCATGCACGTGTCCCATATCCATGTCATACATTTTAGAAAGTGATAAATGCAATGATACTACAATTGGATTGCAACAATTAAACAAGCACGTAAAATTTTACAATACACTTTTGCATATCACTTTAATTATGAAAGGGAAAACCACAAGGCCAATATTATTTAAACTTGATATTGAAATGGAATTTTTGTAAGATCTAATAATAATTAAAAGTGAACTACCTATTGACTCTTAAACTTATAGCTAATTCTTAAAAGTGGTTTCTCACCATTCTTGAGTTTGTGTATAATACTGAAAATTATATATATATTTTTATGAATGTATCTTGGCCAAATCTCTGTCCTATGTTTTTTAGGTTTTGTCATATTGCCATATCGTATCCAGATCTTGTATCTGGTATCTATGTAGCACGGACACGTCCCCTAAGGCAACGTTTGGGTGTCGGACACGTGTCGGACACGGACACGTGTCGGACACGCGGTGGACACGTGTCTGACACTCTACCCAACGTGTCCCTTTTTTTTTTTGAATTTTTGCAGCCGGACACTTGTTTGGACACTGTTGGACACGCTATGGACACGTTATGGACAGAGAGGGAGAAAAACCCTAACCTGTTGCAGACAGAGAGAGAGGGTGAAGAACCTGTTGAAATGGAGCCCTAGATCAGGTATGTTCTTCGATTCTTCTAATCTCTCCTTTGATCTTCTTCTTTTCTTCTGTTTTTCTTCATTTTTCTTCTTCTTTCTTCGTTTCGTCTGGGTCGTCTGTGTCGTCTTCCTCGTCTTTCTCGTCTGTGTCGTCTCCCTCTCTGCTCTCTCTCTCTCGCTATGGTGTTTCGGCCCTCTCCTTTGACCATCGATCGCTATCTGCTCTCTCTCTCTCTCTCTCTCGCTCTCGCTCTCGCTATCGTGTTTCGGCGTTTGACCATCGATCGCTTTATATATCATATACTAATAATATATATACATATATATGTCATTTACTAATAATATGTATACATATATATATTTATATCCTAATAATAATAGTATATATATTATATACTAGATATATATTTGAACAAAAAATATTTTTTTTCTTTTTTTTTTTCTATTTTTTAGATATTATTATTTGTTTAAATAAATTATTTTTATTTATAAAAAAATTTTAATTTGTAAATAATATTTGATATTAAAATAAATAAATAATATTTATATTTTTTAATTTTACATATAATAAATAAATAAAATTATATATATTGAACGTGTTCCCAGCGTGTCGTGTCCCATATTTTTTGAAAATTTGCGTTTTCGTGTGTCCGTGTCGTGTCGCGTGTCCATGTCCGTGCATCATAGTCTGGTATGTTCTAGTTTGAGAAAAACTATTTTGTGCAAATAATTTGAAGATTAGATCTATATCCAGTAGCACCCTCGATTAAGTAGAATTTGGGACCATCACTTAACAATGTCCTTTCATTTCATTTTTTGTTTTATTTTTTTTTTAATTTTTTTTTTCGCATTACATTCAAGTGCATTTTAGAAAGGAGCTTCATGAAATATAAAATTCAGTTCACTTACAGGTGAGGACTTTGATTGTGATAGTTGTTATCGGTCATACAAAAATGGTATGTATAGTTGATCTCTCCTCTCTTGCTGTAATCATCTGCTTCTGATATGGCATATATAACGATCCCTCTAACAATCTACTTTAGTAATTGCAATTCCATATAAAGATAAACCTTACTCCCATTACACGTCGGTGGAACATGATGAAGTCCAGTCCCACTAATCTCCTTGCATGGCTTGAACACTTTGTGGGCTTATGCCTGAAGCCTGAACTTTGGTGGTGCTTCTTAACGTTCAAGTTGTTAGCAGTTCGTGTTTCCCAAACTATAGATCATTGTGAGAAGCGGTGCTGAAATTAGTGTCTAAATTCCTGCATGGTCAACTGGTTGAACAAAAGAAGAGTTTGATCCTAGCTCAAAAGTTGCATGGAAACTGGCATAAAGATGGAAGGGCTCATCAAGAGATCAAAACATCGAGAAGGTAAATCCTTTAAAAAGTATAGAACATAGACGGTGCAAAGCCATTACCATTTTTTCAATATGTAGTGCATGGACATTACCATATATGAATATAAAAACACATGAATATGTTTCTTTATCTACATGTTAAGACTGCTTAGCTGATTGAAAGTGTTGGCCTCACCTTTATTTTTTTATTTTTTATTTAATTTAATACTTTTGTAAACAACCCAACTTTCTCCGTAATATCTTCTAGAAACTGTTAAATTTAAACACCTGAAAGGCAGTGTTGTTATGGCATGTTACTACATTGCACCACTTGCATAGCTTTAGTAGATATCTGCTAAGAGTGCTTGCAATTTTGTTTGACCTGAAAGTCTTTTAACTTTTTTATATGCATGTAAGAAAATGTGCATAATTTGTCATGGTTAAACATTACGATGTTGTTTTTATTTATCTTTTCTTTTCCTTTTCTGTCTTTCATTTATGGGGCTGGATCTCGTAATCTGTCTTTTAATATACATAACAGGAAATTTTATGCTAACAATTGATGACTGAGATTGTGCATTGAGTTATTTTTTATTGTACATTTTACGGATAATGTGATTGACGTAAAAAAGAATGCAGAATGTGGAAAAATGTATTTATCAGAAACATGCTATCTATTCTGCTTCAGGAAACATAGTCCAAAAGAGCCCAGAACCTTCTTCTGATTGTCCATGTTTCCCTCTGCTCATCATCTAAGCATGACTTGATAAGTTTTTTCATGCTACATACTGAGTGGTCTCCTTTTGGCTTTGCCTTCATTCCCCCCATTTGTATATCACTTTGCATTAACTACCTGTTAGTTGATTTTGTGAGTAACCATAGTTGCAGTTCAGTGAGTTGGATAATGCAATTGATCATGTATTAAAAAGATAACTAACTTGGATACACCTCATCTACAGACTATTGAATGTTGTTTCCATGGTACGGTGATTTTTTTTTTTCCCCTGTAGGATTGTACTTGTAATTTGTTTGAACTTCTTTCGACCTCACAAGGGAGTTATCATGCTTAAGACCCTGTTTCCGTGATAGAAGTGTTTCTGAAAGATTGTTTTACTTGGAATTAGATATAGGCCCCGTTTCTTTTGGGGTGTAATGGATGGAAGGAGATTAGGATGGAGGTGGGGTTGTTTAGTGTTGTGTTTGTTTGTAGAGTTGGGGAAGAGATTAGGATGGAGGAGGGGATTAAGGTGGATGTTGGAAGGGGGATTGGGATGGAGGACGTGGGGGTGATATTAGAAAAATAGTGAAGGGATAAGAAATTTTTTTATTATTTTTTTATTTTTTACATATTGGGAATTTTATTTTTAAATATTAATGTTTAATTTTTTATATTTTTTTATTTGTTTTATTATTTTATATAAAAATAATTTAACAATTCCTACACTAACAACTATCATCAAAACAAACACAATTTTACTTAATCTCTTCAATAACAATCCCCTCACTATGAACTTCATTATACCTCTAAAAACAAACGGGCCTGATCCATTTATTTAGTACTGTGCAAAACTTGAAATCTGGTTTCAATAAGCCTGATTGAATTTATATATGATTTCTGTTGTAGATGTCTGTAGTACTTGACATCCAGCTTGATGCTGAGTTGATGACAAGGTTGTGAATGCTTATTTCATGTACAGCATCTGCGAGTCCTTAGTTTCAGAGATGCAAGGAAGCTTGTTGAACCTCATGGCCACTCAAATGTGCACTTGATCTGAAGCAACCATTTTGCGTTCTAACATGTGATATCCAAAGATTAAGCTAGTTCAACTCAGAAACTTCCGGAACAAAGATTGGTAAACCAATTGTGAGAAATCTCCTCTTTAATCCTTATCAAATACCTTATGGTGCTTCAATGCTTGTTACCGCTGTCAGTTGAAGTTAAAAAGAAAGCTGGATTAATGTGCTTTTCTTCGAGTTGTGAAGATCTTCATGAAATTGGTCTTGTTGGTTGGTCTGAATTCAGATTTCTTTTTTCCCCTTAAGTCCTGGGAAGTTACAGATTCAGGGTCTAAATTTTGATCTGTAATCTGTGTAACTTCATATAATCCTTTTGTTCCTTCTCAGTTAACATTGTTAGGTTGTTTTTATAATAATGCAGGACCTTGTTTTTATCTAAAAGTTCAAATTTCCAAATGTGCTTTCTTCTTCTTCTTCTTCTTCTTCATTTTTATTTTATGTTTATTTCTTATCCGGTGCTAGGCTATGAAAACTTCTTCTCCAGAAATGAGATAAGACTCTGTACATAATGTCCTTTTTAGATCCTAATTTAAAATGAAGGTCTTGAATTCATCAAGGTGGGTTTTATATATATATATATATTATATTCAATTTTATTTTTTTTTATGTGGAGGTTTTGCTTGCCCTAGCATTTGATAATCCACTCAAACCCACCAAAATGATGCTGGCATGCTACCAGCCCAAGTCCAACCCATGACTTGGGGCTAGTAGCTATGGTTGGAAGTTGAGTTTGGGTTGCATTTGAATGATGCTCTTTCTTGGGCTCAATTTAATATACAAACCATACATGTCTAAAAAAATAAGAAAATTATGAAGTAATCTCTCACAGTATCACAAAACAAAGTAAGTAGATCATTCATTGCCTCTCAGCTATCTAAGAAAGGTGGATTAGAATTGTTTCCTCTTTAAAGTTTTTCGTTAGGTCATTAGGTTAGAATGTACAAATTTTTTATTTTTTTTTTGCAAATAACACATAAATCAAATTATGCTTATAGTTATTTAATCAATCTAATTTTTTATATAAATAATCTATATATTATAATCTAAAAAATAAATAAATCAAATCTTCGGCATCAGAACATCTTAATTGTTAGGCAGGGTTCATAAGGACATTGAGTGGGACCGCACAATTCAATTAAATCTTGAAATTTTACAAAATATCCTAAATAGTTTAATTTTTTTTTAAATAAATAAACAAATATATATGAGTGGTGCTATATGCACCAATTAGTGTACTAACGCTAATTATGATATTATTATTGATCTTACTCATTATACAAATTACAAATAGTAAATACATCTTTAATTATGTCGCATCATCAATTGGTACACTAATTAGTACACTAATTGGTGTATATAGTATTAGCCAATATATATATATATATATATATATATATATATATGAAATCAAACTTGGGGAACAATATACTAATAATTTTTTTCTAGTAGTGAAACATTTTTTTGTTCTTTCCTAAATCAAATATCTCAATCACTAAAAACAGAGGGCAGTGTGAACCCAAAATTTATAGAAAAATAATGAAAAGATGCAGTGCAAAGGCATGGTTGCTTGTCTCTCCAATCCTCTACAAGGTTCCATGTTTCATTCCAAACCCATTATATATATAGAATAATTTTACACATACTAGTAATCTTATTAAAAATTTATTTGTTAAATGTGATTGGTTGTAAAAAAAAAAATTAAAATTAAAAAAAAACAATATATTTAAATCTCCAATAATATTTAGACATAAATGTTTTTAATAAAATTTTAAATAAATATAACATTGCTCATATATATAATACAAATTCATATTTTGAGACAGTGCAATAATAAGGTGTTTTTTTTTTTTTTTTACATGAAATAAGGTGGGACCCATGAGAAAACCTCGCCAAGGCAATTGCTGGCTAGGGGTGTAATTTTGGCCTGTGGCCCGTGGACGGCTCGAGGTGAGCTCGGCCCGTTAAGGCCCGAGCCTAAGCCCAGCCTGAGGCCTTGGGCCAGGGCCTGGGCCATCATTTTGAAGCCCGACCCGGCCCATGGGCCCGCTTAAGGCCTGCCCAAAAGCCTGGCCCAAGGCCCGGCCCACCTGATGTCCAGTGTTATTTTTAATGGAAAATAATAAAATTTTAGTAGAAAAAATTAAAAAAATTATTTAGGCTTGCCCAAGTCCGAGCCTAGGCCCAAGCCCAGGGGCCCTGCTCGAGGCCTCGCCCACTAGCCAGCCCAAAGCCCGAATACCCCTGGGCTTGGGCTTGGGCCTAGTTTTCTGGCCCATAGGCGGGCCCGGTCGGGCCCGATTTTTTAGCTGGAGCTCGCAAGGCTCAACATAGGTTGGGCCGAGCCGGAGCTCGGATGGGCCGAGCCGGGCCAAAATTACACCCTTATTGCTGGCTAGGGAGGTCCCTCTGCAATAATAAGGTGTTTGATTGGAGCTTTTTATTAGTAAGGTGATTGAGGTCCCAACTGAAAGGTTAGCAGGATGACAAAGTTGAACTGTGATAAGTATTTTAGAGAATGTAAATTATGAGTTCAAATTTTATGAAGCATTTGACCTTCTTAACATAAGTCCTAGGACTTGTGCTCGATAATATCTAAATATTTGAAATGTGAAGACTCTGTATATTCGAAGAGAGCTGTTATCATAACTTTCTCACTAACCAAACAAGTCCTGATCACTATTAGGGGTGTAATTTTGGTCCGTGGCCCGCGGGTGGCCCGAAGCCCGCCCACAGCCGGAGGTGGACCGGGTCCGTTAAGGCCCGTTTAGGCCCGAGTCCAAGCCCAGCCCGAGGCCTTGGGCTAGGGCCTGGGCCATCGTTTTGAAGCCCGGCCCGACCCATGGGCCCGACCCATTGGCCCGACCCATTGGCCCGCTCAAGGCCTGCCCAAAAGCATGGCCCAAGGCCTGGCCCACCTAATGTCCAATGTTATTTTTAATGGAAAATAATAAAATTTCAGTGAAAAAATTAAAAAAATTATTTAGGCCTGCCTAAGTCCGAGCCCAAGCCCAAACCCAGGGGCCCTGCCCGAGGCCTCGCCCACTAGCCTGCCCAAAGCCCGAATACCCCTGGGCTTGGGCTTGGGCCTAGTTTTCTGGCCCGTGGGCTGGCCCAGTCCGGCCCGATTTTTTGGCTGGAGCTCGCAAGGCTCAACATGGACCGGGCCGGGCCTGAACCCAGATGGACCGAGCCGGGCCAAAATTACACCCCTATTGCTGGCTAAGGAGGTCCCTCTACAATAATAAGGTGTTTGATTGGAGCTTTTTATTAGTAAGGTGATTAAGGTCCCAACTGAAAGGTTAGCAGAATGACAAAGTTGAACTGTGATAAGTATTTTAGAGAATGTAAATTATAAGTTCAAATTTTATGAAGCGTTTGACCTTCTTAACATAAGTCCTAGGACTTGTGCTTGATAATACCTAAATATTTGAAATGTGAAGACTTTGTATATTCGAAGAGAGTTGTTATTAGTATTTGTTTAATTTTTTTGAATCCTTCAATTCTTATTTTTTATTTTATTATTATAATTATATCCTGAAATAAAATTACATTAAAAAATAATGGAACATTAAACCCACCAAATAAAAATAACTTTACAATATTATACACCAATCTCCACCACCTAAACATATTTCTCACTCACCTAAACCCAACATTTTCTTCTTCATCACCATCCTAAACCTAACGTTCCTCTTCATCACTATCCTAAACCCGATGTATTCCTTTTCATCACCATTCAAAACACTAAACATTTTTATTTTTATTTATCACAATCCTAAATCGTGAACCAGAAACAGTGGCTGAATTGTAATGAATGTCTATTATTTTGTTTGTTATATTGAATTAGAATGGAAAAGAATGAATTGAGGGTTAAGTTATACAGTGCTGAACAAATGCTGTTTGGCAACACAGTACTGAAAAAATTATTTATGTTTAGCAACATAGTGTTGAAAAAATTGTTTATGTTCGGCAACACAGTGCTGAACAAATAATTTCTGTTCGGCAACACAGTACTAAAAAAATTGTTTATGATAGTGCTGAACCAACCCTCGGGCTGTCGACCGGCCAGACGACCAGGTGGTCGACTGATGGTGTGATTTTGGCTCAATTTTACAACAATGATGCAACGGTTTTGATAAAATGGACAATGTCATTCACTGATTTCGAATAAATCAAATAGAGAGACTGTCGTTGTCATCATTCTTCAATAGGAGAGATCATCATCGTTGTTCTTCAATAGGCGAGGGACTGTCTTCAACCACGACGGAGAGAGTGTACAAAATTAGGTAAGTGTACACTTAGGTGTGATGATATTATGAATAAGGGTAAATTTGGTATTAAGTGGGGTGTTAAAAGAAATCTTATTGAAATTTAAGATTTAGGGTGGGGGTTCAAAGAAACTAGGGGTCTAAAGAATTAAGGTAAGTGCTACTAATAGTGTAGCGATCCCGTTTTCAATCATTCTTTCATGTTTTGCTACTTCGACTGGGTCGGTTGGGGATCAAGCTGCCCGGTCAGCTCGCGGGAGTCCAGGGGGTAGCGCCCCTTGGCGAGTCCGTGGGCAGTGCCCTCGTAGGGTCGAGGGATAGCGCCCTCGAAGCAAAAATTCCAAATGCATTCGAAATTGCTTGTCCACTCGAGCGGCCATTTATGCGCTCGAGCGGAGGATGTTTGGTTTCAGAAGTTTGACTTGTCTGCAAAAGTACTGGGTTAGTGTATTTGATGCTCGAGCGGGGCATTCCACACTCGAACGGACCATGTTATATCAGTTCGTGAATCTGATATTTTATATCACTTTTTCAGTCCTCTCTCTCTTTAAAACTCTCCAGAATTCTAGATCGGGAGCTTCTCTCTCTAAAAGTCATCTTCTCTCTTTGATTTCTCCAAATCTATTGGGATTTAGACTTAAGTTCATTACCAAAGTTGGTTATTATCTCGAGGACTTTGTTGTGTGAGGTGAAGATCGAGTTTCGACACTGTTGATTTTGGGGGTTTCATCTCATTTCTTCTTCAAAACTTGAGGTATGGATTTTCTTAGAATTATATATATATTCTTGTAAGATCTATATGATTTTCGAAATCATCTTTCGATAATTTTGAAAATTGATAATTGATTATTGATTCAAGAAGTTGAGCGATTTTGAAAGTGAGTTTGTCTCTTGTTCTTTTAAAATGATTTTATGGGTTTTGATCTTCGTTGATTGAAGAAAAGATGATTTTAGAAAGTTTTCTTTCAAAGGATTTGAGTTGTATAGTTTTTGTGAGAAAACCTAGAATTTGCGGATTTTTTTTAAAGAGACTGAAAATCCATGAATCATATTGTTGTATTTATTTTGTGTGTCAAAATAAATAGATGTTTGAAAATTTTCTTATTTATATTTATATAAATGATGAAT